ACAAGACGGGCCGAAAAACAAGGTTCCTACAATTTAAAATTTTGACTCAATCATTGTACAAATGGTTTGATTCAGTAGGAACATCACATATACATAGCCAGCATCACATGTCACTGCATCAAAGTAAGAAAGAAAACATCAAATCAGAGCCTTTTCTTGTCTCCTCTCTTCATAGTTATCTGCCATCCACGTTCCGGCATGGCAACAGACATCTTTGCCCATTTTAGGCATATTGACCACTGTCAGAAGGCAACAAAATTTCTTGTTTTTTTCCCCAAAATCAGGCGAAAATCAATGCGCGCGCTGATGTCATCCATAAAAATTTCTTGTTGTGGCCAAACTACTCATACTGATATGAACTATTTACAGGTTCAACGTCTTCTCGCTTCTTGAGGTAGTTGTAGATGTACATGTATGAACACATGGAAGTTATGATACATGGTTTGTCAAGTTTCATAAGGAATACGAATTTTTCTGTTTTATCTAAAAGTCTAAAGCTGGGGAACTTATAGAGCTTATTCACCACACGTCATCATGACTTCACGACCCCTCATGTCCCGTGCGACGCCATTTTGGAGCTACAGCGCCTACAGCGAGTTTCCAGGCGTTGAAATGGCCGACAAACGTTAGGTAAACTGTCCTTTGTCCTATTACACGAAGAGTTTACCACCACTCATACCTCTCGTTACTGGAACAAAATAAAATCTGTTGGGATTGACCCGTTTTTGTTGAGTTTTGATCAGTCTGATCGAGACGGCGTCTACCGCCAGCGGAAAAGTGACCAGTAAAAAGTGACTCTACAGTACTGGAAGCCGAGTTTTCAAATTATTTCCGAACTGGGCTTCCTGTTCTCACGTTCTAATTGTACTGGGATGTTCCAGTACTGAATACGATATGTCTCAATACAGTAGTAGAAGTAGCCTTGCTGACATCACCAACGTATAAACTGGTATTGGTCTATAACTGATCGATGTGCCGATCTTCAACAGCCCGCTCTTCGTTGTTAGCCGCCTCAGTTTCTCTCGTCTCCCGTAGACGCTTCCTGTAGGTATTCTCGTTGTCCTCCGGCAGCCGTGTTCGCCTTATGTTGCGGCGGCCGTCCGGCAGCTTGCCCGGCTTTACTACCGCCCGGCAGCGCTTGTAAGCCGGGCTATACTCACGCCAAAGCCGCTCCGCGTTTTCCAGTACGGAAGGAACGTTCAGTTCTCGGTTTCCAGAACTGATTCAGAGTTTTCCAGTTCTGAAGTCGCCTCAGATCTGGACGCCCAGTTCTGACAGAACTTCCGAACTGGAAGTTCAGTTCGGAAGGCACCTTCAGTACTGAACACCGAGTACTGAGGGAGGAACCCGTTACTTAGGTACTTTTGCACCCCAAGGACAATGTTACTAACAAGAAGAGTGTTCAAAACGTAGATTGTGGCCCAAAATGCGCAACTATCGCCAAGAGTTTGTAGCGTACCATAGCGATAGGCACCAGGCTGCACCCCCTAATGGCGGACAATGCTCGCTGCCGGGGGAAGAGTCACGTGACCATCTGTGGTGAATAAGCCCTATATATTATAGGTATAAGGGGAATCTCTGGTTAATTACGATTGTGGTTTGCCACTCATTTGAATCGCTCCCCATTTAGCTTCGCCCTTGAGCTGATGATTATGCTGACGTCATGCGGACGTAGATCTGACAGTCACTTGTACAGCTGCACACCTCGCGCTGCAGGACAACACCGGAGGTGTCTCACAGTCGCTACCGAGAAGCGCCAGGAAGCCGGTCGGACAGCCAGGGCACGTCACCCCGCCTGACTCACCAGCACGGCGCGGTCCATGAGACATGTCTACGGGCACAGCACCGGACAACACCTGCTTATTTGGTCACGCTGTAGACTTGAGGGGTTAGATCACACGTGTATATTAGTTAGTTCCAGATTTGCAGGGAAGACTAGAAAGGAAAGCCGTCGTCAGTGTACACAAAGCGCTGGTACGGAGCCTGAGAAAATCTTGGATGTCCAAAACTACTAAACTAGCCACCATGCCTATCTTCACTGGCTCTTCCAACAACAAACAACATAAGTACCAGGACTTGGTGAATGAAGCCGTCCATGGGGTAAGACAATGTATTTGTGTAATTTTTCTATGTTTATGTTTTCAACCCGACTTACCTCGTGTTGCATTTCCCAATAAAGGGAAACGTTTTAACAGCATGATCGGGTTAAAATGCATTGATCGAAAACATTTCTGTTCTTTTATTCTTACAATAACTGAAAAGCGAAAAGAAGTCGGATTTATGTAACGATAATTAGTTTTATGCATCTGTTAACTATATATGTTTATCTTGTTTTGTTGTGACCTGTACTAAGCTAAGTGGGGCAAATACTGATAAGCAATTTACTGATAAGCATTTACTGAAAAACAATCCAGCCAAAAATACGTCTCCTTTGCGAACAAAGACCAGATAGCTGGTGATCTGCCGCCAGTGATGCCTGTATGTATGGATACTACTGCTGACATGGCGATAACAGGGCTAAATCCTGTCTTGTGGTCTCTGACCGACCGTTTTTTCTACTGATGAAGCCTGCTTCAAATCCTGGGCAGCGAATCTTCATGTTTCTGAGACATTGAAAATAAGATGGGGGAAAATAAGAGAAAACGAAAAGACTAAACCACGAAAAATATTCTGACTTGAGTTTTGAAAGCTCATCATACCACAATATACTGTCATATCAGCACTTTTATTTACCTGCTCGTATCAGTTGTAACAGTTGTACAATGTAACATTATAAATGATAGATTCCTTAACACACAAGTAATGTGTATTTTCAAACATGATCAGAAGATCTTTTCTGATATACCTCAGTGGTTGGGTCAGAGCGGTTATACCTGCTAATTGATACAAACTCAGACTCAAAATACCAAGTGTCGCCCGGGGCATCCCGTGTATCTAATGTATGTGATTCAGTATAACTTTAACTTCAATGCACTCTTCTAGCAGGTTAGTAAAGCCATGAATTGCAGAAAAAACACCCCTTTGTTCAAAAAAGGTACAAAAACTGAGAACTGAACAAAAGATACAAACTCAGACTAAAAAAAACTGAACAAAAATGTGAAAATGTACGACGTAAAATGATGTAGATAAATATGAGGTCTAGCTTTTCTGCATTGAGGTGGAAACATTGGCTTTTGTTTCTGTGGAAAGGTTGAAATGTCATGAGAGGAAAAACCGGTCGACACTTTAGCTGTGTTACGTCAGACACAGGCGCCATGTTGCACAGACAGTAAATCATAGCACAGCTCAGAACTAGGACTACTGTCGGTCATTAAACAAACAAAAGAAAGTTATCATTCGTGATTATTAGGAAATATTAAATGCCAAATGATGTTCACCACACGGCTGGACACAGGGGACAAACACATGGTGGCGGCATTAATATAAGTTGATAAAACGTGAGTGTGCCGTCACCACGTCTGGTGATTACATGTTGGAATAAGATAGCTAGAGCCAGCCTACGATACGAAACAGCCAACCTTTTCTGTTAGCGACATCGCATTTTTGCGGCCTCACAGATACCCGTATGCTATATAGGATAGGGTTGATTTTACTTACTACATTAAAATAATGATAAGAAAATTGCATCTAGTTTTGCCGACCTGAAATTGCATCAGATGCCTTTAAAGTCATCCAGTGCAGTTTTTAGAGCTTGGAAACCCGATTTTTCAAAGTCAATATTCTAGTCAATCATCTACATAATGAGTTGAAACTACAATACCCCCAATGTATATTGACCCTCATGGAGCAAAAATACCTAACATTCTGACAGAAAATGGTTACTGGAAGGGCCCTTGGCTGATTTTTAGGGTACCACCCAGAAAATAAAGGACTCATCTTGGGGCTTGTTTCTCCAGTTTTCAGTACCCAAAGTATGAAATAATGATTGAAATGTGCTAATGTGAAGCAGTATGTGTCAATATCACAAAGATTGCCTTGTTTAGAATATTTCCAGTTTAGCTGCTCTGAAATCACATTGGATGCCTATATAGGACTATTTCACACGCCCCAAGTTGATTTTTCTCGATAATAAAAACACACTGTAGAAGTAACAAGTTTTATTTGCCATCATGTCATGCAGGTTTCACACAAGTACAAGGACTATGTGAAAGAGGAAACTGTTCATGTCATCCGGTCATACACTGGCCTCCGTCCATATAAAGCTCCATTTGGTACGTACCATTATATTTTTTCTCGTCACTTTAATAAGAACAATGTACAGGTATTATGAAAACTTTTAAACTGTTCTCCAACTCATAAATTTGACTCATCGGAATTTTCAACTGAATCACTCAGTCTTCCTCACCTATCTGACCCAAATGCTGTGGACACGTGATTTTTTCCCCACGTGTGACGTCAGAAAAGGGTCAAATGTTGTCTGAAGTCGATATCGCCCCCCGTCCCGGTTCATAATGTAATTTACCAACTCAGACGAACTTTCATGCTAATATACCGGTAGGCCACATGTTGAAATGTCCCATCTAATCAGATATGCAATATTCGTACAAAGTCTATCCATTCTCTTCTTTTATTTGACTCCGCATGGGAATGATATTTGTTGTTTTTCTTTTGCCGTGTACTTATAATAATATTTTTCTGTTTTAGCCATGCAAAATGGGAAGACAAAATACTTCTTGTGTATCAAAGGAAAAGTACCGATCATGAAAAACGGTGAGATATTTATTACCTCTATGAAAAATGGAGGTATTGTTTTTGGCGCGTCTGTGTGTGTGTGTGTGTGTCTGTAAAGTTACTTAAAGGTTAACACCACTATGCATATATTATGTTAATGTAGAGGTCATTCGCATAATTAATGAGGACATGTCATGTACAAAAACTCATATATTTCATGGAGATATGACATCTACGAATTCTTGTTCTCTGCTGTAATACAGAACTAGCTGGCATGCATGAGAATTGTCATATTGATGATAGTGATTGAAAATTGGCTTGTGTTTGCAAGATACTGATACAAGAATGATATACTAGGACAACACTATTACTATCACATCAAGCACTATTGTTTGTAATGCCTGTTAGAACGGACGCCATGATGAGCACTGTCATGGCAGCAAAACTTTAATTTCGGCGACAATTTTGTTTAATGTAGGACGTTTAATTAAGGAGCTTTCAATTTGGTTTAATCAAACCAAGGAGGTTTAAAATCCAACTTCACACCTCAGGCAAACATTGTTGAAAGCGCAGTAATCCTGGTCTTTCTCCTTTTGATTTTAAACCTCCTTGATCAAACCTATCCCATAGCACACTACTGTTTATAGGATGTTTCTAGCTGTTTGTGGACGGTACTCAAAATGATTCAAACGCTTTAAATATCCCCAGAATGCAATGCGAAAATAGGGGGTAACCCTCATTTGCATAGGACTGGAAGGCAACGGAATGATCCTGTTGACGTTAAACAGCTTGTTTTTCACTGTGTTTTGAGGTGTTGGGGCATTTTATGCTCAACATTAATTACATTACTATGGGCTGAATCTGACAACAAATAGAGAATGACGTTTTTGTGTTCTTTTCAACATGGAACAGCATCAGTATAGCGTTACCACCATAACGTTACAAACCACATATTCCAAAAAATTCATTCTCTATTTGTTGTCTACCCTGATGCCTGCGGCTTGATTGATAAAATGCCCCAACACCTCAAAACACATTGAAAAACAAGCTGTTTAACGTCAACAGGATCATTCCGATGCCTTCCAGTCCTATGCAAATGAGGGTTACCCCCTTATTTTCGCATTGCATTCTGGGGATGGGAAACTGGTGAATAGCTGTGAACTTATAGCGGTAACTGCTGCTGTGTTGTTAGTATTGCCTAATATATACCAAAGACTTACTGACGCCCCCCCCCCTCCAGGTGTAATGGACTACACACTCCACATCAGGATGTACATCCACAAGAGACATCCTCTGTCTCCTCCGGAGGTTTTCATCAGGCCGACCCGCAGCATGGACATCAAGGCGGGCCAACATGTGGACTCGGAAGGACGGGTGTACCTGCCTTACCTCAGCAGCTGGATATATGTAAGTCTCTATCATCCAAACACGGCCAAAGTCATTATGCTTACCGAAGGAAAACACATTGTTTTTGCTCCATTTCTTCTTCTTCTGTTCCAAACACTAACCTCTGACCTGGCCAATGGCCTCTTTTGTTGACGTCTGTCACCATAGTAACTGGTGTTGGGTTACATGATGTTGCAATTTCATAGTAGGCATTTAGACTCCTGTCACCATATACATGTTTGTAAATGTGTTTGTCAATGAGTAAGAATTAATAGAGCAGTCCACATTCAAAGGTAAACATTATGCATGTGCTTTGCAAAGGTTACTTTCTAGTTCATAAACCCATCAGTGGAAGGCCAGTCTTGATTTTTTTCCTCAGGTTTCTTTTTTGTTCAAGGGTGATGCCCCATACGGCCATACCCATGATAAACATATGCCATACAAATGTATCAAAACAACAAAAATATCATATTGCAGATACCAGAAAAAGAATGTTCGTTATCGAGAGAGGGCTATCGAAGCATATTTTCATACACCACATCAGTGCTAGAATCCCTTTTTCAGTGCTCTGCAATATTGCAAATGTTCTGCAATATGGGGGCACTTTCTGTAAGCACAAGTCTCCATACCACAACCTAAAAATGCATAAAATAGCATTATATACACGGGTAGTACATGTAGAAATTCTTATAAAGCAACAACAGCAAAGAAGCATTTCAAGAGACACTGTGCTACCTGGGTTTACATCTGGGCGAAACTGTGGCCATATCCACGGAGGCCGACATTAACGATCCCCTGGCCTGATTGTTTTTCCCGTCTGCAGTCTTTTGCAATACTGAAAATGTGCCTGCAAAATACAGACAGCATGTGGGTATTTCTAACACTGCCATTTCACGGCCTTCATGTGCTTGTTTTGTTTGTGTTCCTCTCAGCCGAAGAGTGACCTGATCGGGCTGCTAGACTTCATGGTGCTGACCTTCAGTCAGATCTCTCCCGTCACCCTGCGGCGCAGGTCCCCGTCAGCATCGCCCACCCTGCCGCGGAAAGCCGTGTCCAACCCGCCCTCCAGGTCCCACTCCAGATCAGGCTCCAGTTCCCGGTCCAGACCGAGCTCCAAGCCCGTGACTCCGGTGCTGAGTCGCCGCGGCAGGCCGTCCCCCACGCGGCCGGATGGCGCCGGGGATGCGGACGACGACTTCGATGCAGGGTTCATGCCAAACCTAGGAGACAGATTTTTCAGTAAGTGTCATGCACTACTCAAAAGCCGATCTTTAAGCAAAATCCGATCTATAAGCATACCTTAAAGTTAAAACATCCATAAAGGTTCCATTTTCCACTTGAGGGAAGAAACACAGCTTTAAGTATGCTTTTAGTTGTGCTTAAATGTCAAACTATGCTTTATAAGTATTATTGACCAATTTACAAAGTGTTTATTTATACACGTATCGTGTATTTTAATCAATATGTGACGCAATTTGTATGATGTTTTGTCAAAGCTGTTCAATTCAGCCCTAGGGCTGCAAACATGCTTATATCAGTTTTGTGAAATAATCCAGTTTACTCCATGCAGTGATGTCGATTTATACCTGAGCAAATTAATGAGTAATTCGGTTGTTCATCGCCTGTAGGCCTCTTTTCATCAAACGATATATTAAGCAATTATGCTTATAGATCGGATTTTCATGTTCATGATGTTCAAGATTGTATACATGTATTTGTTTTGTATTCATTATGATTTCTGGTCTGTATTTGCATTGCACATGTAGTGTTGGGAGGACAATTTGTAATTTTCATAACAGATGTAACATATGTATTATATAGAATGTACAAGTTGTCCTGTGTCTATGTTTCAGGGACAAAAAGTTCTGGTTCCAGCTCGGGGTCGTCTGACGATGAGGAGGAGAAGGTGTGCGAACAGCTTGTAGATGAGAACGGCGTCCATCGCAGGATCTCCGTGAAGAAGTACAACCCTCGGGCGGGCAGGATGGAGTACCTCACCGTCCAGTACGGCTGCATGGCCGTGGCAGCAGACAAGGTCAAGGAGTGATTCTGAAGAGCAAAGTTCTTTGATCACAACCATTCATTTTTCACGAGCCGACGTTTCGATGACCGTCTGTCATCTTCATCAGGGCAATTCTGACTGGTGTTTACTAATTTACTGTGCACTGACGCTACATTGTAGATGTTACTTGGTGCATAGTGCACTAAAGGTGTTATGCACCAAGTAACATCTAGCGTCAGTGCACAGTAAACCAGTCAGAATTGCCCTGATGAAGATGACAGACGGTCATCGAAACGTCGGCTCGTGAAAAATAAATGGTTGAGATCAAAGAACTTTGCTATTTATTCGTTTACCAACCTGATGAAATTATTTACGGAAGGAGTGATTCTGTCTGACAGTAACTGTACAGTTATCTCAGCGAACGACACAGACTGAAGTTCTTGTGAATATGTCTGGTAACCCATCTCGGTTTGGGTTGGAAAATGGTGGATTTAACTTGCTGCTGTAGACTATATAAATATCACGGTAAGTTGTAGACATGTACAGATGTAATACTATAGCAGCACACGACTGGTACTGTTTTATTCTCATCAGTACAAACATAAAAAAACACAACTAACCTGATGTAAAAATTGTGTCCATGTAGATATACAGATGTAATACTTTAATGATAATGTATCTAGGGATACACCGGAAAGCCTGGCTTCCAATGTAAAGACGTTTTACATTCCAGTAGTATTAAAATCTTCAGTATAAATGTGAAGAGTGGTGTATTACTGCTGACAGATAAATGCACTGTACTTTTGGTTAGTATAGAGTGGACTTAACAAGTCTGTCCGTACCGCCACGTGTGCGCCGTCCTTCAACTTTTACAGACTTGCTCTTTGTCCTGTGGGACCTAACTGGATGACTGTGGTGAAAATGTACTCAAAAGAAGAAATGTAGTTTTGTGGCAGACGTATTTGATAAAGATTTATGAGGTTTACGAGGCTTACAACAGACGTGCGCAGGTCATTAGGTGACGTCAGACCAATTTTCTACAGTTTGGTGAGCAGCCAGAAGGCCTTAGGAGCGTGGGACAGGCTGGTGTTCTGTAGTCAGTGTCTGTGTGTGAGAAGGAGACATTATTTTGGACGACAAATACCCAGAGGTTCGAGTCCTGACATGCCACCGATCTTGTGCCCTTGGGAAAGGCACTTTACACGACTTTCCTCACTTCACTCAAGTGAAAATGAGTATTGTCCTGTTACGTATTCATCCTCTGCGTTGGTGACAGTAACAGTCATGAAATGTTGGAATAAAAAAAGATACCGTAGATCTTTTAGAATTCAAGTGAAAATAGCTTAGCAATCCTATCATCAACACATCAATGTTACCAGGTATTTGGTCAACCACTGGAAATATTCATATCATTTCTAGCAAAGGAAAACGAGAACAGGAACACACACAGACCATGGAGCTGCCCTTGATAAAACCTTTCGCAGACACACACACACACACACACACACACACACACACACACACACACACAAGGCCATCGGAAAGGAAACCACGGACCTTTGTTGTTACTACTCTAAATTTGCCCAAACTGTTTCTCTATTGCAGTCAGTGCAGTTTTTACGCTGTCAAAACAATATATCTTCACCGTAAAACATTGAAGAGACAGCTTCCTATAACATGAAGAGACACGGAGCTTCCTATAACATAAGAAAATAAAATTGAGCTTTAAATCCATTTTAAATCTACATGGTCAAATACTCATTATTTAGATACAAACAGTAGAGTTACAGTGACAGTGACAATATCTACATGAACAAGTCAAGACGCCAGCCTTTCAAACTGATTTATGAGTATAATGCTCCAGGATACTTACCGTGGTGGAGCCGACGGACCGGACAAAAATTGTCTGTAACATGTTTGTAGTGAAGACTGAAGAATATGCCTCACAAGTGTCACATTTGTAATGTCAGTCCCAGATCTTAAAAGTTAACTTAATGGAGGATAGTTTTCTGTGGTACCAAGGACATTGTGTAATGTCCTTGGTGCTACTTTTTTTCTACCACTAGTCAGTGATTGAGTCTGCTTATCTTTTATAATTACACATGTATGTGACCACGAGATCACGTACAACTACATATGGTTAGATAAAGATGCATTATTCTCGGTGAAGTATAAAAACAATTACATACAAATTCGCTGACCTACTGATTATACATAGAACAGCAAACATGGAGATTTAATGTGTGAAAATGCCCCCCTCCCCCCAGGCGCCGCTCTGACCCGCCTTACGTGTCAGCAGGTTTACTGAAGAGCTAATGACGGGATTATCCATGGGTCACTGAGACAACGTCAGGCCGATTTTTTCAAGGGCAACCAAAAAAGCACAAACAATTATCTGGTTATCCTCAGTGAGAGAGCATCAGAAGATTCATGGGGGCCCGCAAGCCCTTTTCCGTAGAGCGTATTCGGCCGTTTTAATTCTACGTAGAGCGTAGACGGACCGCTCTTCGCATTTTGCGTAGAGCGTATTTGCAGTTTTAATTCTACGCAATGCGTTGTAGCCACTTGGAATTTATCGTAAATCGTAATCAAAAGGTTTCTAAATTCAGCGTAGAGCGTTGTCGGGGCCCCACCTTGCAGGCCCTCTTTCATATGCTTCCGTGGCTCCATTGTCTGGATCAGTTAACCACCAGACTCAGGCATGGCCCAAACTGTGGCTTCCTCTTATATATAAAATATAAACCCTTAAAGTATCAGAGATCAGAACAGACACAAACCATATACCACACTTATGTAAATGATGTGAACTATATCTTTGTTATTTTGTCTGACTCTGACCTCTTCCTTCATGACCTCAGTGAAAAGCAGCCTGCAGGCCGATTTGAGTTTCTCGTGAATAAGGAATGTCAAACAAACAAACAAACAAACAAACAAACAAACGAAGTTATGGCAACAGAAATTGTAAGAGACCAAACGGAGTTACCACATGTACCATCAGATACAGTATGTGGTTTTCGACTATGTTGCGGTGAGATCCACTCTTTGCCCTTTGACCCAGTGTTCCAACTACGTAAGGCTGGTATGATACTGACAACCTAACTAGGTGTTAAACCAAAAGGTGTAATCTCCTTTGTTGAACACATAATGTCTTTAAAATGTTTATGAAAAAATGGCTATCAAGGTAGCCTAAGTAACTGAACATGCATTGAAATAATTTCTATGTGGGGTCGTGTGGCGCAGCGGCAGCGTGATCGACTCGAACCAAGAGGTCCCGGGTTCGTGTCCTGATATGCCATCGATCTTGTTCCCTTGGGAAAGGCACTTTACACGATTTTTCTCACTTAACTCAAGTGAAAACGAGTATTGTCTTGTCCTGTATTCGTCCTCTGCGTTGGTGGCGGCATAGAATAAGTTGATATAACTTGAGTGTGCTTTCACCTTGTCTAGTCATGGAATGTTGAAATATATAAAAATAATAATGATTTCTATTTGATGGGAGACGTTTGAATATAACTGTTTGTCACGATGACGTCAGATTGTGAAGTATATTTACGATATGACCAGCGCACGCAGGCAGTGACGTGAGTGTACAGCTGGTTAGGTTTATCACTGAAGAGCTGCTGGGGACAAGGTAAGGTCGGTCTGGGATAGCTGGGGACAAGGTAAGTTGGTCTGAGATAGCTGGGGACATGGTACTGCAGCACAATTTCCGTTTTTTGTATCTTTTGTCCTGGACATGCTATGGTGTTGATTTTTGAGTGTTGGATACATTTGCCTGTCAGTAATAAGTGGTGTAAGTTTGGTCCCCCTAGCAGCTTGTTCTGGAACTGCAGGGGGGAGGGGTTGGTTCTGGCAAAACCTTTCAGAGCAGATAAATTAACAAAGGAACAATGTATTTTCTTGATTTTTGGTATGTGGGTAGCTTAGACAGAGATCTACATTATTGGATGCAAATTATGCAAATGATGACTTCATTTGCATAATTAATGAGGAAATTTTGTAATTCCAGTGTTTTACATCATGGGACTTTGATACATGTAATGTTTATAGTCTATGGTAGGAGGAATATCACCAGATACCAATTATGCAAATACGGACCTAATTTGCATAATTACTCTCAAAATTCTATGACTCCTTAGTGGTAAATGATGGGAATTTCATACTTGGAACATGTGTAACTTAAACAAAAGTTAACATCATGGTGCACATGTTTATGTAAGGTCATTTGAATAATTAAAGAATAAATTTACATGTCAAGCCCATATTTCATGGAGGTATGAGATCTCGGAACTCTTGTTGTGGATGGATCCTCAAAAATGGTCCAATGGTCCACCTAGCTTTTTCCAACTGTACTGCAGTACTGCATGCAGTGGGCTTTTATGCATTTATTGATTGTATGCATAACTCTAGAAGCTGTGAGTGAATCTTAATGATATTATCAAACGAAATGAACGTATTATGAAGACTTAGAATGTACTTCTTCCTTTCATTAAAAGAACAAAACATTTGGAAAGGCGGCAGCGAAGAGTAAAGACTTTATGGACTACGTGAGACGAGACCCGCGGAGACCACAGTTGGAAGATGCAGACATGTCAGATGAGGAAATCAACATCAACGACGGGCGACAAAGGTCATCCTGGGACATAACCTCTCGTACGACCAGTCTTGTAAAGCACTGAGGTTACACAGCCTCTATGAGAGACGTGAAAACTTGTGCCGAGAGTTTGGGAAAAAACTGTCCAAATCAAATCTCTATCACCACTGGCTCCCTCAGACAAGAGGCAAGTAACAGGGAGGTCAACAAGGACAAAAAAAAAACTCGGCCCTATTCTAGCACGTACGAAGCGCTACTCCAAGAGCCCTTTGCCCTATATAGTAAAACTGCTAATGAGTTAACGTAAACAAGTAATGTATTGTCTTTTATCGTGTATGTATGTAGAGATCGCAATTCAATTTTATGTATAAATGCCTAACTAGAAGGATATTTTAAAGTTGTTAAGATGGACACTGATGTAAAGAAACATGCAATTCAGCCTCCGGGCTGCAAAATGTTTTTAATCAATAAACTAGTCATCATCATCATCATCTATTTTGAGCAGAACCAAGGAAAACTGAATTATCTACAGGCATTCATACAGGTGATTTAGCTTATTGTTGTGTCTGCTTTTTTGCAATAAAATATAGCGTTTCTCCACATCAAGGATTGACTATGACATTCTTACCTGCTAGTCTAGGATTGTATCCACAAAAGAAAAAACAGTAAAATGCAGAAAACACTCAAATTTCAACTGACAATGGACTCTATACATGTATATATACAATACTCTACACATGATCAGCCATTGTAACAACTACATGACAAAAGGCTTTAACTGGCGTGTTACGCCGAGAGGCGGTTATACCGGCTATACAGAAGCAGAAGCTGGTGTGTTACGCCGATCCTTTGACAAATGTGCATATGTCGTCCTCAAGTAAAGGCCTATCTACTACTTACAAAAAGAAGATTATGAAAATGACGTTCGCAAAGAAACCACTCGTTAATCACTTCTTTTGATAATATAAACAAACAAACAAACAAATAAACAAACGAACATCAATTAACCGTACTTATAAGCATTTTTGCATGCAAACAGTCATAAAAACATATGCCTATTACACTCAGGCTCTCGTTCTTCCCTCGTACCATCCAAGAGTGGAATGAACTTGAGCCTGGTGTAGCGGAGGCGGGGTCCCTCGTCAAAACTGGACTGGCGAGGACGTCCCCTCTGCCTTGAGTCGCCCCCACAAGTTTTGTACATATGTATATATATATATTCTACTAACACACTAAACGCACTTGTCTTGTCTTTTACACCCACAGATTCAGTTATTTACGTTCCTTAGTGTCCCCTCCTTCAGTTACCCTTGTTACCGGTTACCTGTTTTGTAACTAACACAGTGCAGCTGCTAGTAATCCGATGCAATCGGGCTAAGCAGTACATAAGATGATGGAAACAAAGCCATCTTAAAATGACCGACTAGATCAGTTCTTAGTCTCATGACCACTTTTTGTGTCCGTTTGCTGCCTTCGGTGTACTGGAGTATTATTTCACGACTGCCTGAAATAAAAACATTATTGTCTCATTAGTACCGGATAAACACTTCCTCTGTGAAAGTTCAAAATGTGATGGTTTCTATTTTTCTATTCATTTGCCTCAAAACACCTGTCTTCATGATAGGACCATAATCAGACTGAGCAGTAGTCCCGTTCCACAACAATGTTTTTTTCTTATTTATTCATTTTCACTATAAGCAAACATCCACATTAATTGAACATTAATTGAACATAAGCATTAAATGGCTACTACATAATGTAAAGTACATATATTAAGCATTAAATGACTAATACATAAAGTAATATCTATAAATAAGCCTTACACTTACCCCGATGCCTCTCCAGCTTCCCTCTCCGAGACGCTATCAAGTATTCTGTTTTTTGATAGAAAATTACTAGCTTTCTAAAAGACTCGAAATTCAAAATTTTAGATGCCCTGGACTGAAAGATGAAAAGATTACCTAATAAAATGATCAAATTTGTTAACGGTTTTGCTTGTCTGGACAGGTCTCCAAAAATAACATTGAAGGAAGTTAATTTTAAATTTGAACCAGTTTCCTGTAATAAATATTTCCGTAAAGAAGAGAACAACATAAATGCACTCATAAAACACATGTATATAACTTTCTTCATCACTGCCACAAAATATACATATTTCCAATAAACGTATAATGTTGTTTGTAAATCAGATTCTGTAACATTTCTGATCACGTATGCATATTCCGGTATATATTATAAAGGTATCCTTCGTAATTTCTCTCTCTGACAACCATTTTAATTTTAATTGTACATGTTGTACCTTCATTTTCCTCCGTACGTTGATGATGGCTTCAAGGATATCTTCATCACTGAACATGCTGTTAACGTCACGCAGCTGGTCCACACATTCTGAAATTTGAAGTGTAAATTGACAAATTTAAAGAGTAAATGAAACCTCCGAAATGTGATTATGGCTACACCACACCACAAAGTGGTGAAGACATATTGCTTTCTCTCATGTTTTTTCTCCTCCTGCCATTTCGTTAAATGGATTCAATTTCTTCATTTTTGGACCAAATAACATGAAATTCGGCATGGAGGTAGAGTAGCCAAATACCCCCAGGTGCTTTTTTCATTATTTAGAAAATATTTTTTTATTTGATTTTTTTGGCCATTTTCAGGCAAAAAATATACATTTTGGGATTCGGAGCCCTGGTACTAAAACCAAATGACCTGAAACTTAGAATGGAGATACCTTGGGCATATTTTTTGTCCACATTGTCGGTGGGGTAGAAAGAAGTAGATTTCTGACTGAAAATTCATCGTTCTTACCTTGGAATGAAGGTCTGTCGTCTGGACACTGACTCCAGCATGCCTGCATGAGTTGGCTAACTGTGTCCACACCCGGCACACCTCTGGGTACCAGTGACATATCCGGCCGCCCTCCGCCTGTCACGTAACAACTGAGTGGCCTGCTGAGATTCAACCTGCCTTCAGCATCTGCAGATTGAACGTTAAGCTTCGGTCACAACCCGCCGTACGGGCATCTGCGTGCTGTCTACGTGCAAAAACGTGGGCAAACGTAGGGCATCCGTGCGTGGTGAGTACCACCTCCGTACGGAGTCCTACGGATTTGGGAGCACGCAGACACGCCGTAGAACTTTAAGTGCATGTAAAACTTTTTGTGCGTGCCGTCTGCGGATTCACCACCCGTGCGTGCGACGCGCGTGCCCCGTACAGCCTATGAGCGTACAACGCTCGTTTTCAGACAAACGTAGCAGACGTGGCCTCCCAAAAAACGTACGGACAAAAAGCACGTACGGCGGGTTGTGACCAGGGCTTTAAATAACAGTAACGTTGAGGGCAAATTGACTGAAAAATATGATACATTTAATTCGCAATGTATCTTTGCCTTGAATCATTGACTATGGTATGTAACCGCACGAGTTCAGAACATTATCTTTAATTGGTTCATCTTTAATTGAAATACCTTTATTGTACATTCATGCCACGACCGGCTAGGTACAGGTCAAGACTTAACATATACATAACAGACGTATGTAGAAAAGTGGAGACAAAAGATATACTACTTGACTTAGACATACATACATAAGGAACATACAAGGGTACTATACTAGGCTAATACAAAGTGTTCTAGTTACTGAGCTAATACAGAGTGGTCAACTTCTTCTCGCTTTTTTGTACAATGGAAAATGTGGTAACAGATCATGTTTGTGATACAGGCGATACTGGTAAGTGTATAGGCGGGCTGAATGGTGAAAATGATGTTCTCACCTCGATATGGCTTTCTTCGGCTGGCAATCTCCCACAACAACACACTAAAGCTGCAATAAACACAAACCGTATCAAAACTCGGAAAATAAACTCTTTCAGGCGACAAAATAGATATTTTAAAAGATTTTAGCTATTCCAGGATGTTCACAGATTTCTAATCAACCTTTCGCTATGTAATTGAGGATATAGGAAAAGGTTATTGCAAATTCGTGCCCGGAGGCTAATTGCAAATTACAAAACATAAAAGAACAATGAAATAGAGTATAAAATAACTAAAGTCTACATGATGAAGGTAGCTGTCTATAACTATGTTTGACCTCTCTTCTGTAAACCATGGAAGACGTAATGTCCCACCTTTTCCAAAATTTGTGGGTTTTGGGAAATTAAAAGAAGTCTTAGAAAAGCTTTTTCTTGGTCTGTAAGTTTAGAGAAATTGGGATAAATTGTAGAAGTTTGAATAGTCAATTCATTTCGAGCGTTGTTGTGGAATGAACAGTTTGAAATAAAATGTATTTCGTCTTCCACAGCCTTTGCACTACAATATTTACAAATTTTATATATATATATTTTGTAACTATTGTACTTATATATATACATGTAGAGTGAAACCCTAACACCAGTACCTGTACACATCAGTCTTGTCGGTTGGGCCGCCGTCTGTGTCAAAAAACTCCGGTGGAACATGTGTAGGGGTGCCGCCCATCGGGCTCGTTTCAGTCACGATGCGGGATTGCATCTTCCATTTTGAAAGGCCAAAATCTGAAATCTAATAAAACGTTTGACTTTGGTTATTTAACGCATCTGATGGTGGTTTAGAAAGACTGTTATTGCAAATTCAGGATGGAAGGCGACGAGCAGAAAGAAAATACATGTTACACTAGAAAGGCCGACATTTGCTTGGGAGCAAATACAGCATATTTCAGTCCATCTCCCTCCCACGCAAAAGTGGACTATCCCAAAATTACCCCAGTGCGAAACTGGAAGATTCTCAAATAAATGAATTATATAGTAGCTATGTAATTGAGAACAAAGATGCAAGAACAAGCACTTTGAATCTCGACAGCTTTACTTACAAAATTTCACATCACTCTTATCTCACAATCGTATTGCAATTAGTGCGTACAAGGAGAATGGTACCAGAAGGAAAACAAATTCAAGGACTCTGTTAAAATATCAAGTATATTTGTGAGATGTGTAACGCAGTACCTTCACGTGAAAGTCTCCGTCAAGTAGCACGTTCTCTGCCTTCAGATCACAGTGGATGATCTGCGGGTTCTGGCAGTGCAGGAAAGTCATCCCCAGGGCTATCTGTCGTGCCATCCTCCACCTCAGGGCCCAGGGCACGTCCACATCCTGCAGTAACTCGCTGAGACAGCCGTTTTCCATGTAAGGCATCACGATGGCGACTTGTGGCTCCAGGCAGATCCCCAACAGACGAATGACGTAGTCTGATCGGCTTCCCAGGTTCAGCTTCCTCGCCTCAGAATACAGCAGCTCTTGCTCACTTCTGTGTTAAGGCAAATTTCAAAAGTCAAAACAAATCTGTTATCATCTCTCTCCAACTTAGTAGAGCTACAGCATCTCAATGGCAGTTCCCTATGTTCCTTACTACTTCAAGGGTCCACATCACTCTCACACTTACAAAACTGTAATGTTTTTGATGTAGTTCAAAATTTCACTTACTGTACGGGTAGATTCTCGTAATTGATAGATCACCAACTTGTCTGGTTTGTATTTGTCTCGGTTTTATCCACCTTGTAATTATGCATGTATCTCGTCAATGTGTTTTATACTCGCTGTATGTTTTTGAGTAGAAGTTGTTATACAAGCAAATTTTGCTTTCTGCCCAATACTCAATAAATATATGTGAATAGATGAAAAATAATAAATAAGCATTTTCCGATTCGCAACAACATTATTGAAATATCAGATGGAAACTTATGTTGATATTGCTGTACTTACCAAACAAGAAATCATGAAACCTCTACAGAAAGTTAGATTACCATATAAATTTATATAAGAAACAATGATTTTGATACTAACGTTCCATATATTTCAAAGGTGAGACTTTTGACTGCCACATCCTGTCTCCAGTTCCGGTGAAAGGCTTTCCTCACGGAGCCGAATGATCCTTGGCCAAGAAGGGACTTTTCCGGGAACTCGAGCTGTTCAAAGTCGATGATGGGGAACCCACTGTCAACTGTTACACTGGGGAAGTCGCTGAGTATGAAGGAATAATGCAAATGTTAGACCAACAGTACAGAGGTTTAATCTTGAAAGTTCATCTGTGTTGGTAGAAATCATTATGAAGCAAGTTTAAACTGGAATTTCCAACACAGCAAATTGGACTCACCCAAATTTTCGACTGTACGACTCCAGTCTTTGTCAAGGAATGAACAATCCACCGCTTCCGTGACTTCACACAGCTGCAGATAACACGCGATTACATTGATGTAACATTACAACCATCCCTCAACAGAGACGGGGGCGCCACAGACTTTCTGCAACCTATGATCCACTGCTCACGAAGCCACGTGTGTTATCTGCGTGACGTCACGGAAGCGGTGGATTGCTCATTCCTTGACAAAGACTGGGCAAAAATAAGACACTTCAAAGAAGCCACGTGACAAGCTTCACTGTGTCAGTCTACTGAGGAAGACCAGAGTGACTGGTCGAAAGATCTAGGTGAGAGAATTTGTGTGTTGGATCAAA